CTGGTCAGAGGCGAGACAGAGAGAGGTGGAGAGCAACACACTCACCACACAACTGCAAGTGCAACAAAAGGCCCCAAACAAAAAGCCAATAAGAGTAATTTATTAATGTAATCCGTGCAAAAGAATACAGTTCATTCAGGTAACTCAGGTAAAGGCTGCACTGAAGCAACAAACACTGAAGGACACTTTCAAAGGGAGGAAGAAATTCCTTCCTGACAGCAAGATGAGATCGACAAGATAAAAACAGATTACAGAGGGTTTGTTATTTTTTATAGCCTACATGGTTTTTTACTTATTTACTATAAAATATATCAGTATACAATGGGCTATATATGAATATATTAAGTATATAAAACATTAGGGACCGCTTGGTTGCAGGCAATTCTTTCTTAATGCAATACAGAGCTATTCACCTGTACACAAGTACAAGTACTGGGTCAGGACTCGGTATCAGCAGATTTTAAATGTGGATTGGGGGCAATTGGTATCGAGAATTGTAGAATTTCACTGGCATTGGTATCGACTACTAAATGACATCTTGTTTTGCAATGCAGAAAATCGTGTCGCATCAATAAAAGGAACTAAGGCGTATTTGTGTAATTTTCTCTGCACCTTCTAGTCGGTTGCAGATAAAATGCAGGTCGTCTGTGGGAATTTGTTATGTTGCATTGCAAATTAAGAAAATAAATTCCCTTCTTGAAGTTAGGCATTGTCTCCCAACTACTTATGGCTGAAACATTCTTTTCTGGGCTACATAAGCATAAACTGCCTCTTTACAGCTCAACAAACCACTTCAAGTTACATTGATTTGAGTCCTCTGCAACCTCCTGTTACCCATATCAACCTTTTTCTGTGTACAATAGGTTCACATATTTACCTGTATCTCAGCAGAACTTAATTCCAGTTTTAACTGCAGAACTGACCTGGACAAACGTTACCAACTTAGAAACTTAAGCTGACACAGACAGCAGCCTGGGCATGCAGACGATACTCTGTATATACTGCACTACTTGTTGCTCGATCCACATGGTCCTAGATTTTAGGTGGTGCTTGGAAAGTTCACACGAGAATTTGCAAGGACCCTCAGATATGAGCAAGTTACAAAATATGCTTCCCTTGGACCCTCTCAGCTACGTAGATGGCCTTCAGAAGCAAAGCATTTTCTGATTTTCCATACACTTCATTTCAGAGCAAAGAATCTGTAAAGTGTCGGTTTCTTTGTGGAAACAAGGTCAGACTTAGACAAGGTCAGACTTAGACTTTGGACACCGGGGCGCCAAAAGTGTGCATTTTGCATAAATGTAAATGTGAAAATATTCTTACAGTAAACAGTCCTATGGAAAAAAATAAGTTGTCTAGCAAACCTTGGTAAAACAGCACGACAACTGATCTGTTGAACAGTGACTGGCTTAATCATAATGTGCCCGACAGCATCTGAAGCTGTTTACAACCCGGTTGTTTACATCTGTAGTTTTCTCTTTAGAAGAGACACACAGAAATGGTAGGATGACTTCCTATGCTGTTTAATTTTTTTGTATTGTTGTGCTTTGTTCTTTTGTCTGGAGGGTTTTTCTGGGGATTTGTGTTTTGAAGTGCATTTTCCTTTTCATCAAAGATTTCTCCTAGCAACACTCCACAACTGGCAGCTGAGCTAACTTCCATTAGCATCTCCTCAAATGTACACTCCCGTGGGGCTTGATGTCATTTCTGCTGCTCCCATTAAACCAACAGGATCAAGTTTTAGTCTTTTTTCCCCCCTCTGTTTGTAGTCTGCAGTTACTGGGTTTGGTTTCAACTAAACTCAATTATCAGGTCATTAGAGCAAACCACAGACCTCTCAAAGACTTGTGGTTGTGAGGAGAGCGTTTCACTTGTAACAGGGATTTTACATTTCACATTCTGTATGGATACCCACTTGAACTATATTACCTAATTTAAAAAATACAGAGAGGTTGTATTTCCTGCCCAGGGACTGAAAATGCAAATTAAGTTGAATCATTTT